CAAAACCATCTTACCCAAAACCCAAATCTACTAAATTCCCCTCTCTACCGTCATACTGAACGATATCCGCAGATATCAGTACAGGAATTTGAAACAAACGAACACCACTCAGTCTAATCACTCCCCCAACCCATTGTTGCAGGTAAAATTGTCGATTACGCATAATAACGATCCACCCGTGACAATATTCTACGATTGTTACACGGATGACGAATTAACTACATGTACATGTATCGGTATCATGGAAGAAATAAACTTCATCGTTATTGAGTAATACCGATACCGATACATTACGCTAAATTTTAAATGGTATTATTAGTTAGCTCTCGTTTTACTTTTCGGATGAATTTATTTATCGTTATGTGTGTGTTCTTAATACATGAGATATTGCTATTTATATTGATATCGATATTCGTAATAATTTAATTTAAAAGAACATCCATAAGTGCTGTGCCAAAATTATAACTGATTATCAAATGCTATATACCGATACATGTACAATATACGTAATGGTTTAGCAATTGCTTTACTAAGCGTTAGCGTTGTTTTGATTTAAAAATTCGACTTCCACTTAACATTAACGTTAACTTTATCATTATTAGTATCGTTATGATGTTGATGTGAATACTAACGCCAATAAGATATCAAATATGTTGATCATTACGACACTTTTGGTATAATACCCTTGTTTCAATCCGAAAATTTAATCAAGCTCACTTAATAAAGTTGTTTTAGTTTTTCGAACGCGAAATATTTATGTTATCTGCTTCCTCAAATGATATCGCTTCTAAACTTTGAAATACAAAGATGACAACCTGTTCGTTACCAAATATTTTAATTTCTGAAATAGCCGTACTTTTCAAAGACTCCGAAGATCAAAATGTTTCGATAAAAGTCGGACAAGGAAGCGATATTAAAACTTTTACAGCCCATTCTGTAATTTTACGCGCAAGATCGCAATATTTTTTCACAATCGTGGGTTCGTCAAGCAAATGGTATCATCTCAATGGACAAACCAAATATACGGCCAGTTATTTTTGAAAAAATTCTTGGGTAAAAATATTTTGCGGAGTCTAGTTTTGATTTATATTTATTTAAGCACTAAAAATTAAGTGTTAAAATATTTTACCAGCTATATTTATACTGGCGATATTACTTTATCTCTAGAAGGCGAAGATATTTTAGATATTCTTATCGCTGCCGATGAGCTGATCCTTGAGGCGTTGATTAATTCTATCCAGAGCTATATTATCTCTGAAGGGATGAATTGGATCAAAAAAAAATATTGTCAAAGTTCAACAAGTCTTTTCAAGACTCAAAACATGTAAAAAAATTTCAAACGTCTGCGACGAGATTATTAGAACAGACCCAAAAATCATTTTCAAATCCAAATCTTGTTTGGCAATTGAAAAAGATCTTTTGGTTTCTTTATTGAAGCGAGATGATCTTGATATGAGAGAAGTCGAAATTTGGGATTTCCTCGTGAAATGGGGAATCGCTCAAAGTGGTGAAAACCTACGATCCGACAATAAAGAAAGCTGGAGTGCCGACAGTTTGCAGCAATTCAAGACATTAATAGAAGATTGTATCCCGTATATACGCTTCTTTCAAATCAGTAGCTTAGATTATTATCATAAAGTTCATCAGTTCAAAGGTGTTCTTCCTTCGAAGCTTAAAAAGGATTTGAAAGCTTATTATTTCGCCCCTAAATTGCACCCTAAGGAAAAAATTGAAGGATACGCTCCTGAACGTAGCAAGTATATCATGACGAAGGAAGACATGGTAAAGTTTGGTTTTGAGGCTATCTTGAAGAAATTATGATTTTAAAACGATGACGATGTTTTGCGTTTTTGACTGGAAAGGGTTATATTTTCTAGTATATGTTTTTTCTATAGTTGTTATTAGCTAATTTACAGTGGCCTAGAAGAATACTGTGGGCACTTTTTAAAATATAATAATACAAAAACTAATAAAAAACCAGATTTATTGTTCTGAGCTAATAGATTTATTAAGACATATTGTACAATATGTCAATGACTAGTTCAAATATAAAATTTAAAATCAAACCGAAATTTATGTGAAAATTTATTTTATTTTCTAAAGATACAAATATCTTCGTATTCGGTGAACCAAATTAAATATATTTTTATTAACAGATTCACCAAGTCAAGGCGCATCTAATGATATCAAAATCATCACTGGATGGAGATATATCACGTCTCAAAGGTAACGTACAAAACCGGGATAAATATTTTGGAGAAAATAGTTTTTTGCGAATATCTCTGCATCCAATGAACTAACTTCGATGATTTTGATATCATTAGGTTCTCCTTGACTAGTAAATCTAATGATATCAAAATCATCCAATTTGGTTCACTGGATGCGGAGATATTTCTAAAAATGGTGTTCTTTAAAAAATTTTACCCTGACATGATAGTGATCCAAATTGGATGATTTTGATATAATTAGATGCGCCTTGACTTGGTGAATCTGTTAATAAAATTATATTTAATTTGGTTCACTGGATACGAAGATATTTGCATCTTTTATAAAATAAAATATTTTTTTCACGTAAATTTCAGTTTACACTAAACTTTATTTTTGAACTAGTCATTGAAATCACTTGAAATTTGATATAATTTACAATATGCTTTAATAAATCTATTAGCTTAGAACTATAAATCTGGTTGTTTATTGGTTTTTGCGTTATATTTTAAAAGTGTCCACAATATTCTGCTAGGCCACTGTAACGCGCATAGAAGGTTTTATGTATGGTTGGATGTTTATTGTTATTAGCAAATCAGTGAACATAATTTAACGAATTATTAATCGACATTAATTCATCGGTATTGGTAAGATTTGCTTAACGTTAGTCAAATTGTGATATTCTTGATAATTTGAAGGTCAAATTATCTTCAACTATATTATAATAAAAAATTTTTTAAATCTAAATTCGTAGTTTTTAAAAAAATAATAAAAATCATTTTTTCGATTTAATTTCTCAATAATTTAAAATAAAATTCACCAAATTTTTTCAGACACTCACTACCATTTGGTATACCCTCCATTAGCTTCAAGTACATCCACTATCCTTTTTGGCATGGTGTCAATTAACTTCAAACAAAAATCAATATCGATTTGATTCCAGATAGTTTGTATCTTTTGCCACAAATCTTCATTATTACTAATATTACCAGGAAGTTGCCGCAAATGATGATCTATTTCAATCGGACAGGTGATTGCGATGGCCAATCCAAAATATTAACGTTATTGTCGATAAACCATTCGGAGCCGTATGTTTTCGGGTTATTATCATGTTGGAAAATGACATCGAATTTCACAGTTGCTTAACATGCTGCGACAGCAAAGGTAATTTTGGATTCTTCCAACCCATTCTCTTCCATCCGAGCCAAAAATCATGAATTTACTTTCATCGGACCAAACCACCTATCTCCAGTCTTCTATAGTTCAATCACGATATTTTCGAGCAAAAGCCTGTCGCACTAATCTATGTCATTTTAACAGCAATGGTTTTTTTAACACGGGATACCAGACCTTGTCTTTTTAATGAGCGTCTAATTGTATTTGAGGAAACAAAGATATTTTGGTCGGAAATTAATTTTTGTTGAACTTGGATGCATTGGAACATTCATTCGTTTTAATAAGTTTGGAAATATTTCTATCGTGGCGTTCCGTAAATATTCGTGGCAGCCAGAGTTGGGTAAAACGTTGAAATTTCTCGAAATGCGATTTTACGGATAGAGTAACCTTCTTGGATCAGAGTATAGCGATAGAATCTAGTTCGTTTGTCAAGCGGAATTACCTTCATCGTTTGGAAGTTCATTTATGGATGCTAAAAGTATTGCACCACTAAACGGGATTTTCTCGAAAAGCTACAAATAAATTAGTAACTAAATTTTCACATGTTATTGAGCAATATACGTATAAGCTTCAAATTTGTAGTTATTCGATTACTAGATTTTTAGATATCACGTTTTAAAATTTTTGTAATTATTCAATTAAAAGTACATCTGATGTATCCATAGAAATCGCGCAGTGGTCTTGCGATTGCTACGCTACGCAGAAAAGTTGAAAAAACGAGGTTTATAAGAATGGCATTGTAGAGATTAGAACGGATTCAGTTCACTCAAATGAAGCTTTTAGAGACGGTTCCAATCTTACACTGGCACGTAATTCACCATCAAATATTTATTGTACACTCATATTACATGTACATGTAATCGATATGTAATAATTGTACAGTACCCCAAAAAGTATCGCCCGATTTATTTCATTTCTGCTTTATATAAATAAAAATTTTTTTTTACCATTAACCAATACATTACCCACCCTCTATATGGCTTCAATACCACCTCGATTCCTTACGGCATCGAGCTCACATCCTACTCCAAACTAACACATTAAATTTTGACTACACTTTCTTCAGAATATGTTCACAATTTTTTACACTTTAGAATATTGTTTTACAATGGTTTCTAGATGTTTTCTATGAAGCCAGGTCTGGGGGAATACGCTAATTGGTTCATAATCATTAATATTCCTATTTCGTGATCTTTTTAGAATTAGGGTTAGAGTTAAGCTGAAACATCATATTTTTTCAAATTAATGAGCATAATATATTATGAAAAAGGATGAAACTACCTTAAAGAATCTTCGGGTAAATTTTTTTATTGACAATGTCACGAAATGGCTCAGGTTGCCTTTTTTGGCTTCTTGTAAATGTGCATTCTTTTTCTTGCTTGTTAAGAGCTTGTGATCTTCCAGACCCTGGTAAATTTTCTTTTTTCCTATTTCTCTTGTATTCGGCAAGAGACCATTATCCCGTCATCGGGTCACGGCTGATTTTTCTTGCAACTTGCACGGCACTCAAAACCCCAATAAAAATTACCATTTACCCTCGTCAAGTCGGTAAACTGGAGGCGTTGTGTGTTATATTTACAGTCAACAAATTTCGCCCAGTGTATATTTAACACTTGTCAGTCCAGTTTTATCTAATAAAGAGCATGCAAATTTGCAATTATTCTTGTGATATGCTGAAATCGAAATCGTTTGGAACATACTTGCTCGGATTTATTGCAAGTAACTCCGAGAGTTAATAAACAAACCTATAAAAATGTGCATTTTATAGAACTAAAAAAGCACAATGAAGTCTGCTGTGCTGCAATTGGAGTTTAATGTTAGTTTTTCCTCAGTAGGATATCTTTATCAGATAATTAGTTACATAGATTACACATATTTTATTATTTCTTCTCTTGGCTCTTGCCATATTATCCGAATTCGCTAGAACAGACAAAACTAAGCAACGGTAGCTGATTCCGAATACGTACCGGTACATTATAACGAAGCCACCATTTATCGACTTTGACTAAAAAGAACCAGAACTTGTGTTAGTAAATAATAAGGTAAGCCTCAATGACATTTAGTTAAACTTCTTTCAATTTATCATAAACATTAATATATATCTATTTTATTATTGTCATTTTATTTTATATCATTATTTATGTTTGATCTATAGCGTTTAGTAATAATGACAGGTGACGATATCAAATAATAGATAAATTTTTATCACCTTATAGAAACAAAAACTGCATTTTCTCAAACGATGAATGATGTTGGAAATAGTGTTCAACATTCACTTTGAACGCAAGTTGGAGCAATATCAGCAGTTTTGGCGCAATCACATCTTTCGCAACCTTTGCTTCGAATTACTGGATTAATTGATAGAATCGTGTACTCTATTGAATATCAAACTACACAGCAGCCGTAAAAATCTCGAAATATCGAAAAGTAAATGTAAATATCAAGAGTCAAAATTTGGAATTACCATAAAAACAAACTAACCGATTTATCGATTTATAAAAAATAAATGCCCGAAATGTGTTCAGCACGCATTTTTATTATTGATTATTGTGGCTGAAACTGAAATCAATGGCTTATTCATTTCTATTCTCTAATCTCATTGGTCCATTTCAGCTTCAGCTAAATTCACCACATTTATCGTTATTAATACGTATATATCTATATACACACCACTTAAATTTAATATTTAATTGTCATCTAAAGCAAAAACGTCGTCATTATAAAATCAAATTTACACAAACAATCGGTTATTAACACAGAAGTTCTATAAAGAAAATCAAGAACCATTATTTATATCATTTACTGAATAACCATGTTCATTATAGTATTATAGTCTTTATAAAAAAAATACTCTCTGATAATGATATTTGCCTTAAATTTTGTAATTCGATATTCCGCAAGTAGTCCATAACAAGAATTAATTAACCTGTAATTAATATCCAGTCATAATTAATTAATTAATCAGCTTATGAATTGTTTCTTATTTTAAAGGCATTCTTTAAAGTAAAGCTTTACGACATTAGATTTGTAATAAAAATCTTTGTTATCTAGATGGCTTATTTAACTTATTTGACTAATAACCAGATTAATTTCATAAAATTTGAGTGAAAGTTATTGTATCTGGCTGATCATGAAGATGGTGTATGGGATAATATGAAAAAACTACCTTAAGTAAGGGGCGTGCCGTTTATCACGTAATTAGTATGGTTTTCCCATGGCTGACCCCATGTATCTATGGTAAAAATCAGGTAATAAATAGCACGCCCCTAATGATCTGAGTGCATTTATTTATCACAAAACTGGGATCACATTATATAAGTAGTAAAATCAATATAGGTAAGAATCCAATGAGCAATACTTGTATCACACAATATAGGCCCCAATGCATTTTTATTTGGATGATAAATAAAAACACTACCTATAGCAAGACAAAAATTACG